GAAGAGGAGGAGGAGGAGGGAGGAAGGGGCGGTGATGCCGGGCGGTTCTGCCTTCCCGCTGCCCTCGCCGCGCCCGCGGAGTGCACGGAGGGACCCGCAGCGGCTCCCCAGGTAGGGGACAGGGACAAGGTCACCCCCCGAGGGGCTGCGGGGCCACCTCCGGCCAGGCGACACCGCCCACCCGGCCGGGAAACCTCGCCCGCAAGGTACGAACCCCTCAGGTAGGGGACGGGAGCCACCCCCAGGTAGGGACCACCCCAGATATGGGGCTGGGACCCCCCCAGGAGGGGACAGGGGACACCCAGTATGGGACACGGGACCCCCCAGGTGATGGGATAAGGACCGCAGCCGTTCTGGGATGAGACAAGGGGACCGGGAGCCACCCCCAAGGAGGGAATTGGGGACTGTCCCAGGCAGGGGGACACGGTGGGGCCACCGCCCCATAGGGGACAGGGTGGTGCCAGGTAGGGCACAGGGAGCTGTGGGGTGCACGGTGGGTCACAGGGGACGCTGGGGGGGCTGCAAGGCCACCCCCCAGGTGAGGGACAAGAGGACAGTGGGACCACTCGGGGTGTGGGGAGAAGGGACACCGGGTGTTGTGTACCCCCACCCCTTTTCCCTTGGGCAGCCGTGAGAGGTCCCTGGGTCAGGGGACAGAGCTGCAGCTCCCCAGGGCTGTGTCCCGTCCCAGTCTGGGGGGTGTCCCCATAAGTGACCCTATCCCCATCAATCCCACCTGAACTCCCATCCCAGGATATTTTAGGGAAACCAGGGGAGTTCCTCAGCCACCCCAAACCATGGGAGCTCCATGGGGAGGGGGGGACCCCCATTAATGCACCCCTGGAGGCTCGGCCAGCCCCCCTGGCTGGGGGGATCTGGAGGGTGCAGCCGCGGGGCCGCCGGGCTCCGTCAGCCCCGGCACAAAGAGGAATGCGATGAGCACATGGTTCCCATTAACCCCGGAGAATTTTCTTTTCTTTTATAGGTTGGGGGTTTTTTATGATTATTCTTTTCTTTTTCCCCCAGTTTTGCACAGCTCTGCTGGGGAGGAGGAAAAGCGGCGGCTCTGGTGGGTGAGGAGCTGGGCAAGGCCGGCAGTGCCGGTAGCCAGCGGGGAGGGAGGGAAAGAGGGAGCCAAGTTCGGGGTTCTTTTTCCTTTTTTATCCCTTCCCTGCTTGAGTCAGAGGCTGAAGTCACCGGCAGGAGCACTGCGAAGCTTTTCCCCCATCCCGGGGAGTCTGTCTGCCCCTAAAAGGATGTGCTGACCCCCGTGAGTGGGATTTTGGGGGAGCAGAGCCACACAAGACCAGGAACTCATCACACAGGTATTTTTCAAGCTGCCAATTCACCTCAGGGATGAGTCCTGCTTCACCAACACAGCACCCTGACTAAAGCCTCAGGGTTCCCTCCCTCCAAACCATTCAATTTGGGGAGGGGAAGCTTCGCCCCAGCTGCTTTTCCCCTTGGGAAGTTGGATAAACAGCCCTTTTCCTTCCTGAGCAGGGTTCCTCGGGGTCGGGTGCATCCTGCCTGTGCTGCTGCTCAGGGGATGTGTCGGTGTTGGGGACATGGTGATTCACAGCACCTCAGTTTTCCCACCTGGAAAAATAAAAGGGTGGGATGTGCAGAGCTGGAAGTGATTGGTGGGGAACTGGGGATAAGGAATGAGGGAATGGAGACGTAGAAAGATCCCAAAAAAGGGGTTGCAAAAGCAAAATCCTATTGCAGCCCTGTTTTTTAAAAGGAAAGGTGAATATTTCCTGCTGCCCATGGGGAGTTCAATCCCAGGTGGGTGGGAGCAGTAAGAGGAAATATATGGGATTCAAATGTATATGAAAAGGTGGGATTTGGCCACAGAGGTGTGAAAATGGGAGATATCAGCTGCTGCCTCACCAGGACTCTGTACCCTGTGTCCTCCCAGACACGAGACCGTTTGTTGCTGTGACGTGGGACGGGACGCTCGTTCCTTCTCCCCTTCCGGGAGGAGGGAGTCAGGCTGGTGCCAAAGGGCAGCACGGCTGCAGGAGCTGCCGGTGTGCCTGCAAGTTTTACTCTCTTTGTTATTTTCAGTAGAATCAGCCTCTGACCTGGCCCTTCCACAGCTTCAGCAATGTTGCCAGGGAAAGCAGAGAAGAGAATTGCTTCGTCCATCTTCATCACCCTCATGCCACCGCGGAGGGACGTGGCCACCACGGAGAGAGCCCAGCGGGGGCTGCAGCCGGATGGTGCCGAGGTCCCCGGCACCCACCGGCCCCAGGTCCTGCCGTGTCCCCCCACACTGCCCAACGGAGGTGAGGGATGGATGTCCATGGGGGGCTGCAAGCAGTGTGGAAGGATGGGCCAGGCTGTGGAGATGCTTTGCTGAAGGATGTGCGTGTGGAAGGGGATGTGGGGGGATTTTGGGGGGGTTATTCCCCAAATCCCAGCACCTACCCCAGCATGGATCTGGCTCCTGTCACAGGCTGTGTTTGCTCTCCATTGCCAGGCACTTAGCAGTGCTGTTTGTCTCCTCTTGCCTTGGTGGCGTTTGTTTTTGGGGCTGGTCAGCGAGCGCTGCTGGGGTGTTATTGTGAGGGGGTGTTATTGTCATGGGGTGTTACTGGACACTGTTGATCCCCTAAAGCCCTCACATCTGTCTGTTGGTGCAGAAACCCACCCAGTGGCCCCTGTACCTTCATCCTCACCAGTCCTCCCCCTCTCTGAAGTGCCTCAGCCCTTGTCCATGGAGGTGCTGGGTCTGGCACTGCAGCAACTGGACCTGGCAGCACCTGCCACCCTCCAGGTGAGGATAGGAGTGCAGTCCCCCCAGTGCCTCAGTTTCCCCACCTGCAGAGGTATAACTAACGTGGCTTTGCCCTTCCCCACTTGCCAGGCCCCTTCCACCTCCCCTGCTGGCTTGAAGCAGCCCACATTCCGCCAGGAGCGAGCAGGCCAGTGGCAGGATGCGAATGGGTACCCGGAGAGGGACAGCTCCAGAGGTAAGGGCAGACCCAGCTGTGCAGGGGCTCATCCCCACTGAGGGAAACTGAGGCACACACTCCCTGCTTCTTGCAGACATCTGTGCCTTCTGCCACAAAGCGCTGGGGCCCCGGGAGCCGACGGTGGAGGCGATGCGGAAGCAGTACCACCCCGACTGCTTCACCTGCCGCACGTGCCACCGACTCCTGGCTGGGCAGCGCTACTTCCAGAGAGAGGGGTGTCCCACCTGTGACACCTGCTTCCAGGTACCCATCCTCCTTCAGGGAAAACCAGCACCCCTGCTTCATCCCTTGGGGCGTGGGCTGGTGTCTCACGGCACGCGTTCCCTAAATTCCAGGCCACGCTGGAGAAATGTGCCAAGTGCCAGGGGCTGATCACGGAGCACATTGTCCGTGCCCTGGGCAAGGGCTACCACCCCGGCTGCTTCTCCTGTGCCGCCTGTGGCCAGGCCATCGGCACCGAGAGCTTCGCCGTGGACGAGCAGGGTGACGTGTACTGCGTGCCCGACTTCTACAGGTGGGTGTCTGCAGGGGGGAGCTGGGCTCGGCTCATTCCTCAGCCACGGGGCTCACGCTGCTCCCCTGTGCTCCCAGCAGGAGATACGCCGCGGTGTGCGGCGCCTGTGAGCGCCCCATAGTCCCCTGCGAGGATGAGGACACTTACAAGATCGAGTGCCTGGGACGCAGCTTCCACGAGAGCTGCTACTGCTGCGAGGTACAGCCCCAGGGGCTGGGGGGCACTGAGCCTTTACTGAGCACAGACACGGGGGTGGCAGCACCCTTTTTTAGCCCCCACTTTATCTTATGAGTAATGGGGAGAATAAATAAATTGGGATGATGATGATGTGTGGAGAACTTCAGCTTCGCACTGAAGCGGTTTTGATGCAGTTTGTTGCTTTTTCGGAGTGTTGGTGGGTTTTGCAAGGAAAATAAGATACAACACAACCCAGGGAGCCCTAAAAGGTGGCTTCCTTTTCCCCTCTCGCCCTTAGAGCTGCAGGATGCCCCTGTCGCCGGAGCTGACCGAGAACAGCTGCTACCCCCTGGATGACCACCTCCTCTGCAAATCCTGCCACCTCCGCTGGCGCAGCGAGTCATCCTGCTGAGACCCTGCAGCTCAACAGCCTCTTCCAGAGCACCAAAAAGGGGGTGCCCCCAGTGGGCTGCACCCCATGGCTGAGCCTGTGTGCACCCCGAAATTACTGCAGAGCTGGGTTTTCATGGCTAAAATATCCCCAGGACCCTGAGCCAGCGGAGATTTGTGGATGTGTCCCAGCACAGCTCTGCACTCATGATGAATATAAAATGCCCTGACAGAGCAGCAATGAGGAATTGAGGTTTACTCCTTATTTCTTTTTTAAAACTCCTTTTTCAAGGCCAGTTTTGGTTTTCTTGGGTGGTGTTTCTTTCTTCTCAAGCTCCCTTGGGGTTTCACTGAAATGTTTTTCTGTGTGGAGAGCAGGCACTGATTCAGTTACTCATAGTTAAATAAAACCCCGAGTTTAAAAACTTTCATTCCTTTCGTCCACCCTGCATTCCAAACCTGTCAAATCCAAGTTTAAAACTAAGGAAGAAAAGGTGGTTTTGGATTTTCTAGGTGTGGCAAGAGTCGGGTCACTGGGGTCCATAACAGCTGATTTTAGGGTGTAGCGATGTGGGAGATGCTGTTTTTTGGGGTGGATATGGGATCCGGCGTGTTTCGTGGTGTTGATAAAAGGGGTTTTGGTGTGCTTTGGGGTTTTTTTGTTGATTATCTATCCCGGAGCCGGCAGAGGGCAGCCGGAGCACAAATTCCTCCTTCAGGCAGCAGAACTCCAGCTGAAAGCATCGTGCAGGGCGGGGACGCTGGGGAAGATGGACAGCCCTCTTTCTGCAGTTACCTGGGATTATATTGCTCTGCCACTGGAAGCTCTTTGATCTCCTCCCAGTCCAGGCCTCAAACCAGCAGAAATGAGAGCATTTCTCTGCATGCCCAACATCTGCACAGCCGATGTTGCTGCTGCTTTGTGGGTTTGTTTGCAAGGGCATTGCAAATCTTACTTTCTTTTTAACCGAAAGTGTTTAAAAAGCCACAAATCAAGAGCAGAAAATAGCAAGAGCCTGTGAGATGATGTTTAATGCTTTCCTGATGGAAAATGGGAGCTGTAAACAAAGAAAACAACCACCAGACCAGCTGTTCCTGGATCACGTACAACATCTCTGGCATGTGCTGTGTTTATGAGTGAAGGGGTTAACGATGGTTAATTAATCACATCAATAACTATTTCCTGATGACTCTTCCCCGTCTACAAAGCTGGTTACTCAGTGTTGGTTAACGAGCATCTCCGGGCCACCAATCAGGTAATAACTTGCTTTAAATGTATTTATAAATAAGCTGTGGTCTGTTCTGGCCACGTAAATCGGTGGCTTTGGGTCTGGTCGGGTGGGAACTCCTTGTCCCATACCAAGGAATTCCTGTGCTCCAGTATCAATTTCCAAAGCTCCTAGCGCTGTGAGGAAAATCTGGCATAAAAATGATGCTAAAAAAGCAAAAGGATGTGGCAGTGGCCAAAGGGAGTATGAAAAAGAAGGCCCAGAGAGCAAAGGGCTGGTTGCTTTTTTTAGTACAGGTATTTTTCCACTCAAGGTTTTTGGGGAGGATGGAGGTGAAATGCTGAGCAGTGTTTTGGATGTGTTATTGCAAGCTGCACTACCCTTCCCCAGAGGAATGGTGGGAAGGAGTGTTGGGTATTTCCCCCTTGGAGCTTTCCAGGATGGAAGTCCCTGTTAGCACTGGGACTGTGGAATTTTTGGCAAGAGATATGGAAATGCTTTTATTTACAGGCAGCCTTGGAGAAGGTCCTGGAAAGCAAGGAGAAAGGAAAGGCGCTGCTGGGGAGTTTAGCAGCATGGTGAAGGGATATGTGGTGAGGTCAGATTTGGTGGTTTTTCAGGAGTGGAATGTGACAAGGGACAGGGATACACGGACACAGGTAAGAGGACAGAAAGGTTCGTTTAATCCGTCCTCTTCCCGGATGAAGGGAAAAGCACTATCAGCCAAGGTGTGGGGAGCATTGCTTTGCCTGGAAAGCACAGCCTCGTGTTTTCCCTTGGGGGAGCTGAGGGAATTTTGAGCTGCATGCAGGAGATCCTGCAGGAGCTGGATCCTGTCCCGCTGCCGAGCAAACCCAGAGCGGCTGCGATGGCTCAGCCTGTCCTTGGGCTCCTCGCCCTGTCACGAGCACTTCTGCAAACACCCAGCTCTGCAAAAATAAACCAACCACACATCCTGCCCTGGAAAAGAACATTTCGGGGGGCTGGGCTCCAAAGCCTTGTGGAGCCCCCCTGGGACCACCCAGGGGTAAAACCCACTCCAAGTCCCTCCTCTTGTCCCTGTGGCAGTGCCAAAGGACGGAGAGGATGGCAGCGCTCCGAACGGCTCCAGCCCTTCCCTTGGCTGCTGCAATATGCCCGTCAGCTCTTGCAATCCCTCTTGGCAGGCTGAGGGGAGCGGGAAGGACCTGGCTGCCTTCCAAGGCGCAGCAAATGCAAATATTTCCTCACTTCAGCCTGGGTGCGGCCCGCGTATGAAATTTCCTCAGGCTTTCCCAGCGAAGGCATCCGATCTCTCCATCCCTTGCTCGCCTGCGAGGCCAACTTGCTCCTAGGAATACAACGGTGCGTCCCAGAAAAAAGAAAAAGCCTTAGGGTTATCTTTTTACAGCTCAAAGGATTGCCTGATTTTTAAAAAATAGGTTTTAAATTGAAGAAGGAGCTGCCAGGCACAGCTGTAGTGGCTTTAAATCAATGGTTATAGTGTTGCTGAATGAAAAAAACCCTCTTTTTGCAGGTTTCTTTGGAAAATGGAAGATTTGTAGTGTGGTGCAAGGGAAGTGGGATGATAAAGGGGCTGGAAAAGGTGCTGGGAGTGAGGTTGGGTGCTGGTGATAGTTTTTCTCAAATAAGATGGAAAAAGCTTCAGGGAAACTGGATTTTTCCTTTGGATCCCAGGTTAATGGCAGTCGCATCCCAGCCAGCTCCCTGCAGCGGTGTTCTTCCCCACAGAGCATTCAGACCTATTTTCTGCAGTTTCCTTTGACACAGCCTAAAAAAAATTATATTTCTTAAATGAAAAGCAGTCTGATCCTGCTGATTCTGGGAGAGGTAAAAGCCAGCAGGGATTACAACAGGAACAGCGCAAGCCTGGATTTCTCCAGCTCATGCAGCACAGGTGGGATATATATCTTAAAAAAAAAAAAAAAAAGTCTGTATGCTAATATTCTCCTTTTCCCCCAATTTTCCTGGCAAAATGGAACCACCCACTGCTACAATGTAGTTTTAAAACACATTGATTTTGATAGCATGAGGGGAAAGGGATGAGGTGACTGCGCAAGCGCGTTACCAGGCTGTGAGTGCTATACTGGCTCCTTTAGAAAATAAAGGATAAAAAGCCCAACCCACCCTATTTCTGAAAACAGACACAGCACACACCTGCGAGCGGGGTTTTGCTATTTCATATCCCAGATTTCCCTCATTGTATCAGTGATTACAGCATCCTGAAGCCCTATTTCCTGAAAATTACCAATTTTCATCCAGATTTGGCTTTGAGTGGTTTAAGTTATATCTTTATTTTGTTGGAATGTCCAGTAAAGCACTGTGAGGTGTTTTATTGAAAGACATGGATATTTTTCAAAGATGTTATCCCCTTTGTCAAGGTGGATTACTGACCTCAGGGATTTATCACTGACGGGAAAAAAAACAAAACTGAGAAGGATGGGGAACAAATATATATAATATAATAATTTATCCCTTAATTCTCCATGTGGCTAATTTTTTTTCCTCACAGCCAAGCTGGGGAATATGCTTTAATCTCATTTATTGAATTGCTTCGTCTGAGTATGGGGTTTGCTTGTTTTTTGGTTTGGTTTTTTGTGGTTTTTTGTTGTTTTTTTTTTTCTGGAGCGATCGGGCTCCAGACGTGGAGTTAAGGACAAAGCGTTTAGTGAGGAAAAAGATGCTCCTGGAGAAAAAAAAAGATAAAACGAGGAGGAAAAGGCGGGTGGAGGCTGACAAAAGACGGCGCCGGCCGAGCCTGCCCCTCACGGCTCCTCAGGCGCTGCCCCCCCGCGCTCGCTTCACAAAATGGCCGCCCGGCGGGGCCGCGGGAGCGCCTCTGAGGCGACAAAATGGCGGCGGCTGGAGAGCGGGGGGAAGGAGTGCGGGGCCGGAGCGGCATAGGCACGGCGGAGGGGCTCTGATCCTGTGTGAATCCCCTCCGGGCGGGCGGCGAAAGCGCTGCGGGTGAAACCTGACCTTCTTATCTCCCCTCCCTCCTGCCGTTTTCTCCTCGCCGCCTTTGCGAAAGGATGTGAAAATCGCCAGAAGTGCGCATTTTCATTCGGCCATGGCGGAGCCCCCAGTCTT